AGCCGTGGTCTGGTATGGTTCTGGTCTGGTTCTGGTCTGGTTTTGGTCTGGTCGTGTTTCGCCTGTTATCTGGATAATTAATTCGATTGCACCATCGCGGCCATCGCAACCACCGAAATGCAGAAGTTTCCCGACGTGCACCGCACACCTCGGCGTATGCGTGATATTAAATTCAAAGCTCTTTCAACGGGGTGTATGTGCTTACCGAGCAAGCACTCCGGACCAAGTGCCCCACTGAAGGTCGACACTTTGAGACTATCTAGAATCCCGCTCAAAGCCAACTTTGGGGCGGTACTGAGTAGGCCAGGACTGTTGATTCAACTGCAAACGCTGATGTTTGCCCTACCAGTCCACAGTGGCCTCCTGGCTTCAAGCCCCTCTCCTCAGTTAAGGAGTTCTTGACGAAGTAAACCGATAAAGCAGTTAATCGACGGGAGGAATGCGCGGCCCTCGAGGAACCTTAAATTTGTGGAAACTAAAATTTGTTTTTAAATCGTTGCCCCAGCTCGGGTTTCGCTGCGAGCGCCTGGTGAGGCATGGCAATGAAAATAAATGACTTCTCATTAGAATAAAACGTTGAAAAATTAAGAAAAATGCTGGACGGAGCGACGACAATGTCGGGGGTAACCGACCCCCACAGCAAACGAAATAAGAATACAAAAAATAAATAAAAAAATATAAGAGGCGGAAAAAAGCGGCAGCGGGTAAGCGAGTCTGAGTCCAAGGCAGTCGCAGGTGGGTGAGGCCATACAAATGGTTTTGAATTTAAATTGGACAACAATTGCAGACATTTTGTTATCACATATTTTGCAGCTTTAATCCCCACCCAGACAGCCACTGGATCAAACGGAATGTGTAACTACAGCTCCAAGGTTGAGGCAAGGATACGACGCTCGATGTTTTGTGCTTGTGCAACGTGGCATGAATGAGCAACTGTTGCCCCAATCCCTCCCACCCGTCAGCCCTGTCAATCTGTCCCTGCGCCTGCATCTGCACCTGCACCTGCACTTGCAGCTGAAGTGCAAATGTGCAGTGTAATTAAAAGTGTGTGCACGTTCAGGCCAGGGCACAAGCAATTCAGACAGAAAAGAGCAAGCGAAATGGCAATTTCTGAGGCCCAACCTTTGCCCTGCCCCACCTCGTTGACTGACTTTGGGGAATGAACTCTGGTTGCGGTGGCCTACTAATACCGATTGCCGGGGGCGGACGGTATTCAGTTGGCCAATCCATAACCATAAGCCGACCTCTGCAGCTGGAGTCATCTCACTCTCTCTCCCCCTCCCTCTCTGTTAACTATCAATTAACATTTGCCAAGGCCATGAACCGATACGATACCGAAAGAGATCCTATCCCTTTGAGTCCCGTCCAGGTAAATTAGTTTCCAGGTGAAATCAGAATCGCAATCAGAACTACAGCCACAGTCTAAAAGGGAGTCGAAGAAGGAAAAGTACTCTAGTTGAATATGTGATAATTGGGTTTTTTGCTTTTTCGATGGACTGCACAAACGTCCTTAGTCCTTGGCTCTGTAATTTCAACCTTTGCCGCTTGTTAATTGCAGTTTCCTGAAAATTGCCGGACAAAAAATGAAACATTTCCAGAAAATGTATGCAGAAAATAAAACAATTTATCCACTGCATGTGTGAAACGGTAAATCAACATGTGTTGAAAATATTTGCTTTCAGGGAGAGATAGAAAATATAATATTCAGCAATATTCAGACAAGAATAACTTTCATCGAAGCCAAAGTACTACCATAAATGAAATATTAGCTTTCGCCGATATTTCAGCAAATGTTCAACAGTGTTAAATTTTTGATTCGGATTTTCAATTGCGAAACCCAATTTATGGCTATGTCGTGTGGCAGGGCAGGGCTTTAATATAGACACATGAATATTGCCACAATGAACGCCATTAAACCATGTGCGACGTGGGCTGCTATCCGAAAAGAAAGTGCGAACAAAGTATAAATCTTGGGCCAGCATTGTCTGGGACCTGGACCCGGACGCGGAGGCGGAGTCGGAGCTGGATCCGGAAACCAAATCCAGAGGCAGATGCAGAGGCAGAGACACAGCCAGGGCCAAAGCCAAAGCCACAGCCAAACATCGAAGCACTTAGCAACTGCCTAATTTATGGTCCTGTCTGACAATGTGCAGGGGAATGTTGATGTGGATGTGGATGTAAATGCTGGGAGGCCAGACGGTCCGCACAGACATACTCTAGGAGCACATGGCAGACGATTAGCCACAGACGATTGCACTGAAACAAAGCCTGGTGAGGGAGGGGCGGAGGGCAACGATTGGTTGCAGGATTGGGATGTGGGGGGAATCCCAGGCAAATCGATTGCCATTTAAATATTTCTGGGCTTTCGTCTGTGCCACTGAAGCGAGGCTGACTGGCATCGATGTTGGTATACTTTTAATTGAATAATGCTGGATTGTTTTTGAGCCTCTGCTTATACATAGGTGGTCCTGCTACCATATGCATATCTCCTTTTTGTCATTTATTGGTAGAGTAAATGCTCAACGATAGTCACGTAGTTGGCAAGAGTTCCAGGCGAGAGCCACAAATGTTCGCAAAATGCAAAGTTGTTGCTTTGTTTTTCCACACAAAAATAAAATCAGAAAACACTGAAACGTGCCTTTCGACATTTTGCAATGTATTTAGGCACGTGCAACACATACGAGCATTCGTGTATGTGCGAGTATGTGGGATTGCTCTGACAAATTGAATTTTGCTGCTGCCAAAAACGATATCGATTTGATATATGTATGACAGTAAGACTTCCCTCCACTCGAAACACATTGTTTCTCTCCCAACTAGCAGTAGCAGTAAGTATCTATGTGATACCCAGTGTGTGTGTGTAAGTGTGTGTGTTTTTTCTGGGGTGTTTGTGAGTGGGTGCACTTTCATTATCTGTGCAAATATTTGCTCAGAACGACAGTTGGCAGTCGTCTCCTGCCGGTCTCATGCGAGAGTTGCCAGCTCGACACTTTTGGGCTTCCTAGCGCAACTTTTAAGCAGCTTAGTGCTCCCGCCGTCCGGTCCCTGCGAGCCTGCAAAGTGAAAGTTATTGTAGAGACGACACACATCCGCACGACCCTTGCGGTGCACATTTCATAAATGTGGAAGAAGAAAACTATTTCCATGTTGTTTAGCTGCGTGCGCTTTCCCCGAAGTTTCGGGCTCTCATGTTGTCCCTCTAACTTTTTGTCTATGGGAAACTATGCTCGAGGTCCTCCCAGAGGACGGGGACACGGCCAAGGCAGCCCCTCCGATGGGTCTGTTGTAAATATTTGCCTTTGTGGCATGGATGCAAGCACGTCTCATGTTCTGACTTCAGTACCCACCTGAAGCGACATTTTGCCAGGAAGTTGATGTGCTAACTGTCGACTAACAACAAGAACAGCCATAAAGTTAGGCCACACTCCTAACAATATATGACAAATACTAACGTGTGCGTGTGTTATTGGGAAATTTTCAATTTGCAATTGGAAACCCACTGCGTGGGGAGATGCGTGTGGGTACAGCACCAAGTACGGAACAAATTTCATACTCGAGAAAGCTAATTAACTTCTCTTTACGAGGCATAAACTTCCGACATTAAACGCATTTATTTTCATGTGAAAATAAACAAATGCCCCAAAGAAACAGAGGAGGAACCCAATGTTTTGACGGCTCCTTTGTACATTGTACATACATACATATATATTGTACGTTTCTTTATGTATTAAAACGACGAGGGCCGCGCCGCACACTCCCCACCAAGGATTGGGAGGCCCGTGTGAATTTACGACTGGAATGTCAGAAGGGGGAGGGGCAGGGATGTCTGTCTGCTGGTACTTAGCAAGTTGGTGTATTTATTTAGCACGTGTTCCCATCTCCTACCACGGCAAGGACCTACGAACCGGTAGATTTTCGACTTGCTTTTAATTAACAAATGCCTTGCAACTGTTTTGGCAATCATTGAGCGTTAAGCGTTGGCCCTAATGAAAGGCACTTGGAGGGATAATACGAGCCATAAGGGGGCGGATGTAAATTAAGGTCTTGATTTTTAACGGTAGAATATCACGATCTGCTGGGTCTGGCCCCCTAAACGCAGGCTACAATGCAGGTAATAGCACCATAAAGTAAGCTGTAAATTTCTAATATTGTCATCAGCTCGAGTGCTCTCCCGCTCTGTAGCTCTGTAGCTCTCCCTCTCTCTCTCTGTTAGTTTCTCTGTTAACGTGATACCGGCATTGGTATGGTACGGTTATGCATATGCATTTCGCTCTCTCAACTGCGCAATCTCTCGAGCTCTGTTATCTGCTATGTTCCCTAGTCAACAAAATACCTTTTCCCCATTATCAAAACTTTCATTAAGTCAAATTGCATAACAAACGCTGTTTTAATTAAATTAAATACTCGGTTTCGGAGAACACTCCATTATAATACCTCCCCCACACACACACACACACACACACACACACACACACACACACACATTAGGTTGTGTTTAATTAAAATGTCAGAATCATTTCCATACAGATTTTAATTGCATTTTTTGGTTTCTGAACCAACATTATAACTATTAACACATGTGTATGTAAATGATGCTCAAAAGCCTGTTTAGGCAGAAATTAAATGCATTTGCATATTCAATGGACAAAACGGACAAAGACAAAGTCCTGACATCTGTATAGTGCACGACCTGCATCATATTTTGAGCAATTAAAAGAGGATAATTATCAAATTTCCTGACCCAGAACTTATTGAAAAGCAAAAAAGTGCCAAAGGATTGTTCTGTCATGGTTTGTATATTGTTTTATTCCGTATCAAATTGTAAATAATTTGTATATAGAGTACATTATATATATTTGTATATAGTCTGCATTATACAATTCAATGTTTTGTTACAAAATCGGTAGGAATTTACAGATGCTTGCGCTCGCTATCTTTGTAGCGGAAAACATTGTTTGTTTAACAAAAATAAAACAGAAATTAAAAGAAGGCTTCTTAGATTGGGTTTTTCGTTGGTTTCTTATATTCACTTTGTTGCTTTATTATTACAATTTCAAATTATTTCAAAAATACAGCTTATTTTTAAGTTAAAACGAGAATTACTGACATCAAAAGCGAATCATGTCTGATGCTGCTCAATCCCCAATCCTTTCGCTCACTAAATTCGTAATGTTTTACACGACAATTTACTGGCGAAGGCGGACGATCGAGTGGCGGGGCACCAGCTAGGATGGATCGCTTCGATTCTATGATAGGCTATTGTCATGAATATCTCCCGTGGCGGGTGGTACAAAGATGAAGCTATTTATATAAAGATTTTGTAAATATCTGATAGGTAGAGGTTAGCTTTTAGATGATTGCGGTTAAGTCTATGCTTTGCCTTTGTAAAATTTACAACAGTTTCACAATTGCTGCCCTCTCTGCTTGGTTTCGGGCGCAATTTGTAGGTAGTTCGTTAGGTTCTTTATATATTTTTGGCAGGATGTTTTGTTATGTTATGTTATATACGTTTAGCGTTTAGCTTTGCTTGCTGTTTTAGTTTTTTGTTTTTTGTTTCGGTTCACACTCAACTGATTTCGCTCGCTCAATGACCTAATATTAAATTATATAAAATAAATAATCGAAATCAAAATCATAATAGACGACAATAACTATTCTTCTCCTCCATCTGCGTGTACAACGTAACCATAATTTTGCATTAGAGAAATTTAAGCGATAACGACGAGCTTCTACAAGCAGTTCTCTGTCTCTCCGAACATCTCTATCTACCTCGACCTGCACTACCTTCCCAGTCTCAGAGCCAGACCCAGACCCAGTCCCCTCCCCAGTTCTAGTCCTCATCCTGTGGCGTTGCTCCTGTGGACGTGGACGCATGGTCTTTGGCACTTTCGCTGGCTTTGCTGTCAGAGGCGGATGCTGCCGCGGACGCTGGCGCCGAGGGGCCGCTTCCACTGCCGTTCTTGTTGCGCGCATCCGTCTCATCGCCATTGCCTGCATTGGCCTTTGCCTCCAAGGCGCGAATGCGGTTCTCCTGCTTCACGATGATCGCCTTGAGTTTCCGTATCTCATCCTGGATGCTTCGCAGATCCTTTTCCTGTAAGGGTTCAAGCCATTGATTAGTGGGAAAATCTCGCCCCCGAGTCCAAGTACTTACCGACAAAACCGCTGCCGGGGGTCCACCCTCACTGGCATCATTGTTGTTCGCAGCTGCGTTATAGCCGATGCTCAGACTGCTGCTAGCAGCTCCGGAACTGCCACCGCCGCCCCTGGGCTTGTTGAGAATGTTGGCCTTCTTGTTGACCGACAGAGACTTGCTGGCCGATGAGGAAACGTAGCCACCCTGTACAATAGAGACGCGATCCTGATTAGGTTTATTAGAATATCTGTTCGTTTCGGAATACAACAAGGAACAATGAACACAACAACAAGCGCCACGCGGCATGCGTATTAAGGGCGAGTGTAAGCCAAGAGAAGTACAAAAGTTCTGTTTGAGAGCGGTCTGTTAAATGGTGGATTCGTGTGCTGTGTGCTGTATGCTGTGGGTGGGGTCTGTGACTGTGGCTGGCTGTAGCTGGGAAGACGAGACACAAACGAATATAACTCAGAAATCGGAGAAAGCAAGCAGGCGAAGGCAGGACAATCTGGTAGCCAATGACGGGCAGAGCAGCGCAATAAGGCAACTAGAACAAGCCGTTGGAATACTTTTTCATAGGGCAACGACACAGAGGCAGCGGCTGCCTTAACAACTTCGAGCCGCATTGCCGCCTGTGTGTGAGCCCCGAGAGCACGCATGCTGGTTCTTACAAATCCGATGACCTGTACACTCTGTATGCGGGCGGATCAGCTGGCAGAGAGGCCAAGGCTTTCCTGGACTCAGCAGTGAGCGCTGTATTCCCAACGATAGGTAGGCAGAACGTGCAGGTGCAGGAGGGTCGCAATGACCACTTACTTTGAGCGAGAATGTGAGGGGATCTGCGTCCTTGCCGTCTATCCACTCCTCGGCCGTAGTGGCGGCGTCCTCCGCCAGCGTGTCGGGATAGAGATCCTCCTGAAACAGGTCAGACTTTCGGGGCACGGTCATTGAGATAACCTGACAGAGGCCGTTGTTGTTCATACGATAAAACTTGGCCACCTCACAGGTGGTCACGTCACAGCCGCGCTTTGGCATCAGGCCAATGCCTCGTTGTGGCTCTGTCGTCTGAAATGTGTTGATGTAATGAACGAACGGGGGCTCTGGCGTAACCTGCGGATGTAGGGTTGAAGAGAGTATGAGTGGTAGGTTCCTCTATACGTGCGATCGCTTCCGTTCACCCACCTCGAAGTACCTAATGACTGAGTCGCCCTTGCCGCAAAGATAAATCATATTCGTGTCTGCGTCGTATAGCGGGAACATTATGCCGTTGGACGTATCAAGCTCGACCATGACAATAGGCTCGTTCAGGGCGTCTGGGGCTCTGAGCGAATACTGACGCTCCGAGCTCCGGTTGAAGCCGGTGGTGAAGATGAGGCCGTGGCGCAAGAAGATTGCGCGCGTCGCCTTTGAGCCCTCGTGACACATGGCCTCACTTTCCAGTTCGGCGGTGCGCGGGTCGTAGATGCGGATCTTCTTGTCCTTGCAGGTGGTGACCAGCTTAGAGCCGTCCCAGTTGAAGCAGGCGCTGTACACGATGTCCGGATGCGAGTCGATGTGGACGAGGATCTCGCCAGTCCCCACATTCCAGATGACAACCTAAAGAGATCAATTTATCAGTGAGCTATGCCCAGAGGGATGTATTTATAGATGCTCACCTGATTATCCGAGCCGGCGGTGAGTAGAACGTTGAGTGCCGATGGATGCCACAGAACCAGACCTACGCGACGCTGATGGAACACCAGATCGACGACGGGCTCGGTGAGGGTGCGCGACAGTCCCCCATCGGGAATCTGCCAGACCTTCACCACACAATCCTCAGACCCGGAGGCGATCACATTATCGTTATGAGGGCACCATGCAATGTCCAGCACAGGTCCCTTGTGTCCGCCCACCAGCGGATGATCGGCGGCAATGCGTCCAACCTAAAAGCAGTCCACGAAATTGCCATTGGAACGCTTTGCCAAATTTAATTATTAATTTGTATGGCGTCATCGCCAGACTCTGACGACATCAACCGACATCTCCCCCCACGACCCATTGGCCTAGTTTCCGGATCATTATTTATAGCTGACTCCATAGCAGGCTGCATTCATTTCTGCTAAACTGCTAAATGCGCTAATCTCCGACGCACTCCAAAGCATTTCGTAATTCGCGAACTTCATGCTGGCTGCCCCTTGGCGGCAAGCAAGGGAAATGGTCGCCTTATAGAAGAGAAGATGTTGAGGGAATACGGCGAACAGGGTAGATAATGTTATTATACCTCGCGCCAAATAGACTGTTTATAATTATAATATTTTATTTGTATAATACAAATTGCAAATACAATCATTTTTCAAAATAATTCAAATTGAATTCATAGAAAAGTGATAAATATCTGTGATCTTTATTGGTATATCATATGTCCTTAAAGGTCGCATGCCGAATACTTGAATTCTCAGAAGTTCATTTTAATTTCATAATTGTGGCTACACAAATTAGAGTCTTTACGATTCCTGATACTAAAACATATATCCTAGAGAATCCCTTGCCACATGAGAGCCTTGACTACTTGACAGGCCTCACTCGTCCGTTCATTGTCGTCTCGCTTTCCGGCCAAGCCAAATCGAGTACTCATAAAATATGTAAAATAGAGCGTGTGAAAGCCGCTCTACATAGAAATCGACGCTTAAAAAAACGGCAGCAAGCTGAAACCAAAAACTTTCGTAGATGTTCGCCGCACATTTTGCATACAAATTTGTTCCAATTAGAACAGCGCCCGCCGGAGGCCACTGCCTACAAATGCGTTTTGACCAAATGCGGCAATGGATCATCGTGGCTGAGGTGGCAAGTAGTGGCTAGTGGAACTGTGCTGCCCACGCATCCATTTGGACAGGGACAGCGACAGCGAGAGACGACAGCTGTACGGATGCGTATGTGGCTCGATTTGGAATCGATTATTGAAGAGTGAAAACGAAACTGACTAGAAATCATAAGAATAATATGTACTTTATGGCCAAATAATTCCCACCAGCAGAGTGTGTTGCAATGCAAACATTTTCCCAAATATCATTTGTGGTTTCTCTGTCTCTGTTGCGTATTCTCTCTCTCTCTCTCTCTCTCTCTATCTCTCGCTCTCTCTATCTTTTGCTGGTAAAATTAGACAATTTGGTTTGTCATGTTGGCTCTGGGCCAAATTACAAAAGTGCGCCAACCAAAAGAACTGCGAGAGACTCAAGAGAGAGACAGAGAGAGAAAAAGAGGGACAGACTCATCCGCAGAATTCATAACTATAAATACATATGGGAGTATCCATCCGAGCATCCGAATCGAATCGGAGGGAATCAGGCGAAATCCATCGACGTCACTCGCGAGTCGCCAGTCCAGTCCTCAAATGGCTACAAACTTTATGCCAAAAAAGTACCCTATAAATAGTTGGCCATTGTCCGATTTAAAAATACGTACTCGGCCAGAGGCTACGCCGAGTGAATATTTTTATAAGCAGAGGAACAAACCGCCAGACAACTGCATCTATAATAGGGCTTTCCTATACAGACGCTAGAGGGCTGGGGCTGTGGCTGGGGCTGGGGCTGGCTGTGCATACTCACTTTATTGTGTGGCAAGACGATAAAGGCACCACCGCCCGCCGACTCCACAATGATGGCCAGGAACTTTGGATTGACGGCGCAGAATGTGGAGTCCCAGCTGGACTTGGAGACGCGTATGTTGTCGTAGCACTGCTCCCGCTTCAGGGCCTGGCCATAGACGTGGCGAAATTTTGAACTGCGTACCACCCGAAATGACATCTTGGGGCTGTGCTGGAGTCGGCTCTCTTGGGGTTCGCTCGGGTTGGCGGCAGGTCAATGGTCAGTCGGTTGAGTTTCTCTGCGCTTAAAGCTCTGCAAGAAGAGAAAATGTATTTAACTCTCTCTCTCTTTCCCTCTCTCTCGGTCTGGGCATACTACTTCGAGGGGGATAGCGAGAACTAAGCGAAATCTGAATTTCGAGCGGCGCATAAACGATCATTAGCTGCGCTCGAGTGTGTAGTGTGCCGATGTGTTTAACGCGTTTTCTTTCTCCGCGTTTCGCAGAGCCACGATTTGTTTTATAAATTTGCATATGCTAATGCCTTGCCTGCTTGCTTGTTGCGAAAATCAATAAGCTTTCCCATTCGAAGATTACCAACTATTGTTGCATCGAAGTCGGTTATAGCATCAGCTACAATAGTATCAATTTTTGCGACTCGAACCGGAAATTGGATAAAGGGGACGCCTAGAACAACGCTTTCACCCGACACCTGCCGCAAAGGCGCCACTCTCGTCAGTGAGCAACCAGCCAAGCCGAAACGTGTCGAATTATCAGTTTAGTCAGAGAACAACCTCTCGGAACTCGGAACCCCTTTTTATATGACATCATAATGCTGAAATATAACCATAATGAATCGCCTGCCAACACGTGAATTATGGCACAAACCCTCAAGCCCCCAAACTGACAAAACTCTAACACTCCGAAAGAGACTTCTAGATAGCCCCGGAATTCGCTTGTATACATTTCTGGGTTGGGCTAACTTCTGTCCTCTCCCTGTCTCCGTTCCGACCAGCTTTCGTTCTTAATCAGAAAAAGTGGCGCAAAATTGTTTTACTTTTATGCTTTGTTTTGCTTCATATTTATTACTCGGCCACAGCCACAAAAGTTTGTCATTGACCCGCTAAAATACCAAAAAACCGAAAACCGAAAAGAGCCCTCAAAGCATATGTGTATTTCGGGCTACAAGGTTAGCCCTTGGCTGTTTCGGTATCCGTATCTGTATCTGTTCTGGGGTGTTGGCCAGCTCACGCTCCAGTGTTTGAGAGGCGGCTCCTATCGCGGCGGTCTCTCTGCTGATAAAGAAATATCAGCTAGGAGTTGCCTAAATACAGCAAAGATAATTTTCAAGTGATTCAGCACGTCTATAGCAGCTTTGAAATGTTTGAGACCAATTGGAAAATTCTCCAAAATGAGCACAGCATGTGTATATAGCCAAATATCTATATCTATATCTATTTGGCATGTATCGGATATTTATGTGTTTATATGCCGAACACCTTCGCTTGCAGGCGGGAAAAATTGTTGGCTGAAGGTCAAACTTATTAATAGAAAATTAAATCATCTTCGGGCGAAATTTTATTTTATTTTCATATAGAAACATTCACACAACGAAGCGATGTAAGTCGCATTTGATGTGTTTATTCATTTCGTTGGCATTGCTAGCACTTGCCATGCCTGAGCTACCAACCTCGCCCCAATCCTCCTCCTCCCTTCCCGCTCCGGAGCGGCAAACCCCATTGCATTTTCATTTAAGATTTCCAAATGCCAAAAATGTGGCCGTATCATCGGATCCTCACACTTGCACTTGCGTTTGCCTTTGCTTTAAAGTTTAAACAGAAGCCCTGCAGTGATAATGGTCCTCCACATAACGGAAGTTGATACTAATACTTATAATCGTATCCATACATATATGCATGCATGTAAATATCGTATAAAGAATTGTATAGGAGTCTCGCCATGCGGGTGGTGCGATTGAGTGCTCAATGTCAGATTAAACAGAAATTCATTACAGTGGGTGGAAAAAGTCTGATGGTGGGGGAACAGCTCTAAGGAGCTCTTTCCAGCTAGATCCGATCTCTTTCCAAAGACAATCGGACCAAAGACGACCGACTCTTAACACACACTGTCAGCATAGGCAGTTTATCATTTGATGATGATGTTGCCTTTGGGACATGCCATGCCCCATGCCTCCATCTGATTGCTGTTTTGGTCCAGCGGGCAAACGGGCTCCCTAGTTCCCGATCTCTCGAGCGGCACTGGCCACAAATCGACTTAATGCTTGATTGCAAATCTTGGCGCTTTGTTCACCGGACAATTCTAATTGCTAACAAATGTGGTCGTGTCGCTGCTGCTTGGCGGCGTGACTAAAGCACCCGGTGCCCTCTCAGCGGGAGAGAGGTTGCAGGGATAGAAAGAGAGCGCAGATGACTCGGCGGTGCAGTCAATTAAGCGTAGTAATTTCCAGCAGCCGCTACAAATGCAATGCTGTCGAATGTGAGCGCAAATATACAAAGTAAAGTGAAATAAAGTTCAAGCGATAGAGGAGGGAGTATGCTTCGAATGCTCCAATTGTGCCAATGGAGGCCCCGTTACAGTGTTCCATTGTGAATGCGGCAGCATGGCATCTAATAAGCTCACAATGGCGAAGGTGTCACCATGGCATGTACTTGCAACACTGAGGCATGCAGCATGCCTTCATGCATCCATCCATCCATCCATGAGTCATTCGACTAACCCCCACTGATGTCCGATAAGTGGGGAGGAGGAGACCACATTGCTTATCGGCTGTCAGCTGCATTGAAAACTTTCGCTGCCGATGATGTCATTGATGCACTGGGGCAACGTCATTGGATATTCGTTTAAGGTTCATCAACTGTTTGTTTGGCCCCTCTATGAACTTTGTGTTTGACTGGAGATTAACTTGAAATTTTGACAAAAACCGCGCAAGTGTCGGCTTGGTGGGTGTCGCCGTCGCCGTCGTCGTCGCCGCGTCCATTGCCGTTGCCTCTGCTGTTTGAGTGAAAGTGGAACTCTGTTGCTAAAATTAACTACTTGCATATGCACCCCGCCCGACACCGCCCGTGATCTGTCTTCCCCTGCCACATGAGTGGCGGCTGCCGCTTGTTTTTGTTGCTGCTGTCTTAATTGCACAGCGATTCAGCCTCTGCTTCTTCCCCACCGTTTTGTCTACTTGTTGCTATTTTCTGCTTAGTCAGACTGGGCGGCAGGCCGTTTGTTTGGTCGCTTTTTTGAACACTGTCGCTTAATTTGCATATTTCTCTCTCTCTCTCTCTCTTTCTCTCTCTGTATCGCAGTGTGTGTGTCTGGGAATGCGTTTATGCATTTGCTTGTATTGCGATATGCAGCTTGCCTCAGCTGATAACTGCAATAAGCAATAACAGCTGTTCAGAGGCGAAGAGAGGGAGATCGCCATCTAAAACAGCGATAAACGTAAATTGTGTGTGTGTTTGATGCCAGTGCGTCTTTCATACAATATTTTGTCACTAATTGGTGTTGGAATCGCGCCCAAGAGCAACAGAGACAACAGCCACAAAAACAGAAATAACTGTGCGTGGGGGCGTATGCTAGCTCGCACTTTCTAAGACGCAGTCGCGACGACACCGTTGCCTCCGCCGCCACCGCTGGAGGTCGCCCATTTTTCACACTTGCTTCACACACTCCCATGCGTCCAGAACAGACACATGCTGTGTGTGATATTCTACGCTTTGATCAACTTGGAGCCACAAACGCGGCTCCGTTTGCTACAAATATTTCAAATTTTAAATTATCGTCTCAAGTTGGCGCCCACATCACGCACTTCAAAACGCTGCCACATTCTCTTCGATCCCCTCTGGTGTAACTTGTTGCTTCAGCAAGCAACAATGGGCACATTCTCTCTATCCCCTTTCCTTTCCCGCTCATCCGATTCAGTCACAGTCCCTCTCTGGCTCTTTCTCTCTCATCTCTCACTAATCACTCTCTGGGCATAAACAAGCCGAACATTAGCCGGAAAACTAACACAAATTACAGTCAAAGCAGAAAAAACAATTAATACAGTAAAGTGCGAAGAAACAAATTCGGCTGCTGCTTGCTTGCTTTCCGATTTGTTTGATTTCCTTTTCTTTTTTGCACATTTTTCGGCATACGTCGCTATCTCTGTTTCTGCTGCTGCGGCGGCGCGTCCAAAGACGCTGCTTCTCTTTATTCCCTTTTTTGGGTGTTGGACTCATATAACACCGTGCGAGAGTGGGAGAGAAGTAGTAAAATTTTTATAGCTGCACTCTTCACATGCACTGCGCTCTCCGCTCGCAAAAGAAACACGCACGCACACTGCCGCAGTAGTCGCACTTATATTTTTACCGTGATTTTTAATGATTTTGTGATACGCGCGTTTATTGCTGAAGTATTCAATTGATTGGGCCGCTTTCTGGTCAGATAAATCACACAGTTCTTCAGTTGCCACTCTACAAGTTGCCTCTAAATAGCCGCCGTGATTCATTTCACTTGACATTTAATTCTGCTGCCACACTAGCCAGTCCAAAGTCGCCGCAAGAAACCAAAATACCATCACTCGCACTATCACTCATCTGGAGATTTACCTTTTGCCAGCGATTTGCAAATAGGTTTCCCACAGCAATTTCGGACTTTCAAAAACAATTTTGAATTGAACAGCTAGCTGAAGACTTTTCAATGCGCCGACCAGCAGTGTGACCGCGGATTTATCGTTAAAATTACCGTCCGACCCTCTGAAATATACCAAAATGTACCGTCTCACTTTAAAAATATACCGTAGATACACTGACGAATACTAGTTCTATTATACATATTCCTCGTTTTTGATGTTCCGTGGAATATTACTGGCTATTTAGAACATATAGCCATGCCCACATAATTTTATCCGATTAGTGAATCTATTTTCTAATTGACTGGTTTATTTTAAACACTTGCTTTTATTGCATTTTGCGTAAACAGAGGTTTCAGCGAAAATGGGCAAACAAAAACAACGAAAGAGGATTAGTCGTTACTATTGTTCAATTTTGATATTCCGTGGAATATTACTAGCTTTTAGAACATTTAGCCATGCCCACATAATTTTATCCGATTAGTGAATCTATTTTCTAATTGACTGGTTTATTTTAAACACTTGCTTTTATTGCATTTTGCGTAAACAGAGGTTTCAGCGAAAATGGGCAAACAAAAACAACGAAAGAGGATTAGTCGTTACTATTGTTCAATTTTGATATTCCGTGGAATATTACTAGCTTTTAGAACATATAGCCATGCCCACATAATTTTATCCGATTAGTGAATCTATTTTCTAATTGACTGGTTTATTTTAAACACTTGCTTTTATTGCATTTTGCGTAAACAGAGGTTTCAGCGAAAATGGGCAAACAAAAACAACGAAAGAGGATTAGTCGTTACTATTGTTCAATTTTGATATTCCGTGGAATATTACTAGCTTTTAGAACATTTAGCCATGCCCACATAATTTTATCCGATTAGTGAATCTATTTTCTAATTGACTGGTTTATTTTAAACACTTGCTTTTATTGCATTTTGCGTAAACAGAGGTTTCAGCGAAAATGGGCAAACAAAAACAACGAAAGAGGATTAGTCGTTACTATTGTTCAATTTTGATATTCCGTGGAATATTACTAGCTTTTAGAACATTTAGCCATGCCCACATAATTTTATCCGATTAGTGAATCTATTTTCTAATTGACTGGTTTATTTTAAACACTTGCTTTTATTGCATTTTGCGTAAACAGAGGTTTCAGCGAAAATGGGCAAACAAAAACAACGAAAGAGGATTAGTCGTTACTATTGTTCAATTTTGATATTCCGTGGAATATTACTAGCTTTTAGAACATTTAGCCATGCCCACATAATTTTATCCGATTAGTGAATCTATTTTCTAATTGACTGGTTTATTTTAAACACTTGCTTTTATTGCATTTTGCGTAAACAGAGGTTTCAGCGAAAATGGGCAAACAAAAACAACGAAAGAGGATTAGTCGTTACTATTGTTCAATTTTGATATTCCGTAGAATATTACTAGCTTTTAGAACATATAGCCATGCCCACATAATTTTATCCGATTAGTGAATCTATTTTCTAATTGACTGGTTTATTTTAAACACTTGCTTTTATTGCATTTTGCGTAAACAGAGGTTTTAGCGAAAATGGGCAAACAAAAACAACGAAAGAGGATTAGTCGTTACTATTGTTGAATTTTGATATTCCGTCGAATATTATTAGCTATATAGAACATTTAGCCATGCCCACATAAATATATTCGATTAATGAATCAATTTTTTACTTAACTGGCTTATACTGGCTAAGTACTTGCTTTTATTGGAGGTTTTAGCGAAATAGGTAAAATCAAAAAAACAAAAGAGGATAGTCGTTCACATTGCTCAATTTAGAAATTCCGTTGAAGAATTCTGGCTAGCTAAAATCCTTAATTCTGCCACATAATTTTATCCCATTGATGAATAAATTTTCTACAAGAATGGCTAGTTTTTACTCCTTGTTATTATTGTAAAAAAAGGTTTAAACGAAAAAGTTCAACAAAAAAACACAGTCGCAATGTTGCGTGTAAGCCGTAGTATGGGCGTTTGTATACCCTATTTAGTTAATTTAATATGAAGATAAAACGTAACTAGGTTAGGTTAGGTAGAGGCGGTTCCAGGCTCGCTCGGAGCCCGCCACATTTAGTCTGGTGTCGGCCCATTGGGATACCGCTTGGGATCATTCCTTTCCTGCAAAGTGAGACTTCATGTCAGCAGTTGTTCCAGCCAGATGCTCTTATAAAGTTAGCGATCTTTCTGGGACATAGTGTAGACATCTCCGACATGTCGGTTAGAAAGGCAGAGCCTAAGTGTTGTAGCCTTCTTCTTCTGAAAGCTGGACAGGAGCAGAACAGATGTTCTGTCTCCTCCTCGTCTCTGCAACTACGGCAGAAATCATTATGTGGGGCTACCTGTAAGCGTGGGTGCCTATTAGTCAATGTCCTGTAAGGGAACGTATGACTGCGCTACACCTTTTCTGCCTAGTTTTCAGATCTCAGAGGTGCGCTTCTTATCTATGATAAGAAGCCATGATAACCACTTAACGTCTGCCATTCGCTTGTATTGCTCCTTTATGATATGCTTACAGGTTGCCATAGGCATACAAATATACAAATATTTTGTAAAAGCGGGGTTGTAGTACCAGATCTGGCCAGCTCGTCCGCTATACAGTTGTTATATAAGGCTGATAGCAAATTGCTGAGCCATATCGTGAAGACATTTGCGGCAGTTTGCCACGGTGGCCGAGTTCGAAGAAATCGCATTAGGTGACTGATCGCAGCTTGGCTGTCGCTATAGATGTTTAGCTGGGTTGCCGTGGCAGTGACCGTTTGAAGGCAGTATAGAACCTCCCTGATTGCTGTAACTTCTGCTTGGAAGAAACGTAACTAATAAACACATTTTCTATAATTGATATGTTTTTGAAATATTCATGCATATGATTAGTATCTTATATATATATCTCAACCCTGATACCTATTCTTGGTCTCTGTAAGAATACAATAAACTGCAAAATATCGATGTAATATTTAAAACAGACTTCATTTTTTTTGCATTAATTGGAGCATGGGATGACAAACATTTTCTCAATTCTATAATATCCATATCCCCAAGGGTATGCCAGAGTGTGGAATGGGACTCACTGTCGTCAATCGGTTATTACCGATTCAAATAATACGACAAATTCCTTGATTTTGATCTAGCCATAATTTTATCCGATTAGTGAATCAATTTTATACTGGACTGGCCTATTCTGAAAACTTCTATACCGTTGAAAATAAAATTTAGTAGATTGACAAAATATACCGATATACCGTAAATATACCATCGCATCAAAAAATACCGAATAGTATGAAGAATACCGTAAACGGTCACCCTGCAGACCAGTGCACTAAAATATACGGTCTTCCCCTCAATATACCAAAAGATACCTTCTAATTTTTAAAAAATACCGATAAAAAATCACTTAGGCCACTTAACCTACATAACCCCCTTTAGTTCAGGTGCATAACTGAGTTACACCGCGGAAAATATTACTGTTTTTCAATTCTTCTTGTAAATCCATCCTACTCTTTACCAACAAGGAATCGTACAATCGTGAAGATAAAATTTTTCAAGATTCATAATTTTTGTGGAGATTGTTTTAATACCCACTGGTGGGCAATGAGTTAATCGTTCTCTGTCCATGTAAGGAAATCATTTCATTTCATTTCATACTAGCAAGCTTGGAGCCTCAGTCATGAACACAAAATTTAACTATATTGATGAATCAAGTTTAAGTAATCCTTATGGGATTGTGTCTGAAATACGGCTTAGGCAGATAAAGTCCAACAATAAAACGTAAGTGAGCATGAAATGTTTCGTCTTTTGAACACTTGCTACCAACTGCGGGTATGGACATATTTATACCTTATTTCCTTTCTGTTTTCCTAGCTGATTTTAAAAGTAATTAATAATAACCTCTCTCATATTGAATTGTTTTTTACCTTTTCATGCAATTGATTAGTGCCCTGTATATGTATATGTCTTCATTATAATACCCGTTCTTGGTCTCTGTGAGTTGACCAGAAAATGCTAAATTAAAGCAGAGACTGACTAGTTTCTGCAAACATTGCAGAGATGGCAAAAGTTTCCTTAATTCTATAATATTTTGTATCCAAGGGTATACCTTGCTAATGATAACGGGTTCAAACGTAAGTAAGTATGAAATGTAGGTAAATTATTGTGATGAAAAGTCCGATAGATATTTTTGTGCGATATAACGGAATCTATCAGGTTTCTATTTCAAGTGAACAATCACAATCAAGGTTCAAAATTCAATTTTTTCTAGCATAAATTCTTAACATGGACGTTTAAGGACTTTCTGCTGTTTTTTTTACCTATTTCGAATACCAAGAATTTCTAATATTTGTACGAAATTTTATTACCAACATATTTTCCATGCTGCAGCCCTGAAACTGTTCATGCGGTCACACTAAGCAACTGTGGATGCGCACTCCATTTGAATTTCTGTTGCTGCTTTGTTTGCTGGCGGTTTACTTGTTCCTGAAATGGCTTTGCTGTTAATTTAATTTGGATCAAAAAACACCATGTCCACACACCTCTGTCAGTCATAAACAGGCACTTTACCACCTCCACCAAGGGGTATTCCAACAGCAGTGCTACAAAGGCCGCCACCGCATGAGTCAAAACGAACACGACCACAACATTGGCGAACTAAACAACAAATATCTCTGTCAAATGGTTAATTTAAATAATAAATGCACTAACCAAGGAGAAACTAGTCACGTAGACCGGCTGCCGGAAGTACCCGGCCACGACGCGCAGAACGACAATGTGCCAGAGGAAGACTTGGAAGGAGATCCGCGCCAGGGGTCGGAACACTGGCAAGGTGCAGAATCTATAGGCGATACCTACCACCAATCAGTGAGAGATAGTTAGTGGAATAGGTTTGCTTCTCTCAACCACCCACCTCCCACTTTGCTGCACATGAAGTAAACGAATCCCCCGCAGATCAGGACCCACAGATTCCTGTACAGGCCCGCATAGAGGGCCAGCCACAGTGACGGCTTCTCAAAGTCGTGCCTTATGAATATATAGCCCGAGAGGAGCAGAGCCAAGGCAGCCGGAACCAGCAGCCACAGGCCCAGCTCGTACTTTCGTTGTCCCCGATAGACAACGGCATTGTTGCGCTGCTTCAGGTAGAGGGTTCCGCATACGAAGCCCAGCAGATACCCGGCCAGATTGGTGTAAAAGGGCGGATATATCTGGTAGAAGGTGTCCGATTGTCGAAAGTACAAGTAGCGATATGTCCTAAAAGAATAACATGAAACTGTAAACGGTCACAAAACGAGAACCGACAAAACTTACTCTGGTCGCAGGTGGTAGACGGCGTCCAGTTTCAGGAGGTATGTGAGCAAGGCAGGCACACCGAAGGCCAGCAAGAAGAGAATGACGTAGATGGGTTTTACCAGCATTGGATGCCTGAAAGGACACTTGAGTGTGTGCAGATCATACCACTGAAGCTCTAATACTTTTTTCCGATGATAATAACGATCAGGAAGAGCTCAAAGAGCTGCATGTCTGCCGCCAAGTACCAGGTTTGATGGGAGCACTGCAAGGAGAACAGTCTTATGAGATATTCCAGGACAGGCTCAGGTGACAGAGTACCCACACTGTCCTCCAGCAAATGGTTATTCACGAAGAAAACATTCTTCCACCAGTTCTCGCGGCAGAAGACTCGCTCGGCCTCCGTCAGGTGCCGCCAGAAGGGTCCATTCTGCAGGCGGGCCAGGAACGAGCCATTGAACAGGATCAAAGCCAGGAGCGAGGGCAGTAGTCTAAAGTACCTGTAGAAGAACACCCGAAAGTAGACTCCGATGCATTCCAGGATCCCCGACTTTGGGTGCACCAGCTGCCGATCGGTGAAGTTCACATAGAGTAGAAAGCCGCTTATCACAAAGAAGATCTGGATGAATACGCTGCCGTTCTGGAAGATCGACGTCTCGAATCGAAATAGGAACTGCTCGTAGAACTCTGGATTCTCAATCTGCACCGTCATAAAAACCATCAGCGTGTGGCCCAAGATCACAACAAACACTCCGATCACTCGGAAGGCATCGAAGAATCGAATATCGCGTGCAAAATCGCTGCCATGGGCCAGGGTCAGGCGATAATAGTTGCGCACCAGCGAGAAGGAGGTGAGCAGCTGTTCCCCTATTAAGATGAAGCCATACTAGTGAGAATGCACACCTCCAGTGAAGGCACTACCTACTACGATGCTGCGGGCACTGCTGATAGAAGAGGTTGCCCGCCTGGGAGTCGTGCTTGCTTAGACGATAATCGTAGAGGGTAGAGAATACAGTGATCAGCAGGATTACAGCTATAAGAGCGTAAACAGTCAGATCGAGGACATCTGCGAATAGAACAGTGAGTGTTAATCCACTTTGGAAACTCTGTGCAAGTGTGAGATACTTGCCGTGCGGCAAGCTTTCGCCCGACTTCACGCAATACTCGATGAGGCTGCGCACACGCAGGGAGTATTTCTGGCTAAATTCCAGATTCAAACAGCTATTGACCAGTGGATCGTTGAGCAGGCGCTCTGGCGCAGATCGTCCATGCACTCTGGAATAGTAGGAGCTCAGGTCCTCATCCAGGACCCCTCCCTCGTACAACTGCTGAAGATCCAGCTGACAGCGCTCCAGGCAGATACCCCTGAAGAGCCGATCGTGCCGAAAGCGATGCTTGACATCACGGGAGAGACCTTCGATTTGCTCCCACAGAGTGGAGCTGGCATTTGGCACGATCTCGGCATAGACCAGGCAGTAGGTGTGGGAGTCGCTTTCCAGGCAGAGATCGTAGTCGTCCAGCTGATACAGGGCGGGCATCCGCTTGTATAGAGTCACTGAGGATTATCCTTCCCTCGATTATCCTTCTATAAAGGCGGTAAACGGCCACTTACTATTGAACTGGTCAGAGGAAACGATAGCCTGTCCCCATCCTAGGCGGAGGGAGGCTAGAACAAATATAGACTGCAGCAAGCGGAGCATCTTGGGTGTGTTCCACTAAGCACTCCAAGATCAACTATTGGGAATCTTTGATCGATTGGTGATACAGAGTCACCGATTGCATGCTCATCTTTCATGCATGGGTAAGCTCTCCCAAATGTATTTCTATAAATTACTTGGAGTTGACGAAAACAACTATTAAGTGTCGCGCGATTATCTTTATTTTATTATTTTAGCATTGAAGCTAAGTGTAGCCCAAGTACCAGCAGATAGTTCAGTGCCTTCATGTCGTAAAGTACGTGTCATACGTACCATTGAATCTGCGAGGGACTGGATTAATATTTGGCAAAGCTTTATTAAAAACGGTGCTCTTACATGCTGAGATAGTAAAAATGCTTGTGTATGTTTAAGATCATTGATCTTGTGCAGTCTTAAGTTTTAGTTTGGTCTGAAGATCAGATTTAAAGTTTTAAAAATTTTCCAGCAAAGAGAACTGTTCGGTCCTTGTCTATGATGTAAAATTTAAATGGATGCTCGGCATAAAAGTGTTTGGAATCTGGCTGGATCCTGGGAATCCGGGAACGCATCATCAACATACCTGTAGATGCATATGACAGTGGGGTCTCGTAGTATCGGAATGGCATTAAATTTTATGGGTGTGGGTGGGTTAGCAGCTCAAAGTTTTAACAATTTTTCAGAAATGTCTGTTTTTGTGTAATGTAATGTATTACTAATGTGATAGTTAAATGGATGATCGATATATATTATATAAGCGATTGGGGCCTGCCTGGGTCTGGTGAATCTAGTTAATCACCATTGTAATACCTGGAAATGGAGCAGTAACACAGGACTCGCATGCTTAAATGGCCACTAGGTTATAGTAGCAATGGAGTGTGTACACAGTTTAGATCTTTGTCTGTTTGCCGGCAAAGAGAATGGTCGAATCCTTGTTGATAATGTAATAGTTAAATGGATGATCTGCATAGAATCGAATGGGTTCCGGCTGGAACATAGGCATCGAACACATCATCATTACCATTCCTGGAAAATGGAGCAGAAAGACAGGACGCACATGATTGAATGTATTGCATTTGTTGGGATGTTAGAAAATGAAAGTCGGGGCTCGCACGATTATAAGTGGAAAATGGCAGTAGTCGTTGCTTGTTAATGAATGATTCTAAAGATGGAATTTGATTAATATATTATTTCCTAAATTTTCCACTAATTTCCAGTTGAACAATGCATAACCCTAAAAAAGGAACCCGGACACAAACAAAGGTCGAGGAACTTTTAATTTTACATTAAAAATAGCTGCCTTTATTGATTCCACATTGAATGAGATTCTATCATAGCTCGTTGTGCGCTGCACCGGACTCAGAGGCCATCTCCTGGGGCCGCACCACAGAGCCCCAGAACAGGGGAAGGTCCGCTCGATGGACCAGAGCATAGATGAATGGATGATCGGCATGGAACTCAATGGGTTCCGCTAATGATACAATACTGCGCTTCATTCGGACCACGGCGCCTGTGGGGAAGATGCGAGAAGACAACACAAGAGACACGGATGAAGAAGTGCGACACAGGCATGCAAAGGATGGAATGCGAGTTCGGTGATCAATGATGGAATGTAAATGGGATTGGATTAGCACTCACCAGTTGCTGCTGCCGCCTCGGTGCCCTCCTCGTTAACATCGATGAATGCTTTGTGGATGATGGCCGACACCTTCAACTGTTCGGGACTCTGAAGCATTTTGTTGAATTCTGCATTGTTGCCGAACATCTTGGACATGCCCAGCTGGTGAGGGAGAGGGAACAACAGACATTAGAACCTGCTTGAAAGCTGCTATTAAAGATTTCGATTCCCACCTGCTTGAATACCTCTGACAGCTCCACCTGGAATTCTGCCCTGAACTTGGGCAGTTTGACCACCACCTCGGTCTTCTGCAGCGACTGGGTGATCACCGACAGCAGCGTTCCCCGTAGTTTTTCCTCCAGCGCCGGCAGGCCAGTCCTGCTATTGGGCAGAACAACCAGCATGGACAAATCCGAGTCCGCGTAGCCCAATTCCAAGGCAGCGGCACCCAGGTCGGGCAGATCTGCATAGCGGAATTTCTTCTTCAAGTTCATCATCGGTACCTTTGTGCTATGCTCCTCGTTCAGGTGGAATAACTCCTGCTGAGTGGCGTGCTGGGGGAACTTGTGCTCCCAGGTGCCCTTGAAGTGGATGGCATTGACCAGGACCAGGCGCGAGTTGGCGTCCAGGGCGCTAGACGGCACCAGGTCCTTGATCAGATTATTGGTACTCTGCTCCACCCACGCGTTGATGGTGCCTGCAGCCTGTGCGCTCTCGGCAAAGTTTACGCTCTGCGCTGCCGAGAGGAACTCCTTGGTGAGCAGCTGGTTGAACTCCTCGCGAAGCGGGTATCCCTGCATCACGAAGATCTTGTTGGCTATGTGCAGGATCTGGCTCTTCTCGTAGGCGGCCAGCACTTGGTGGAAACTCTGGGCTATCTTTGCAGCGTCGCTCGAGACCAGTCCCAGGCCTCGGTCCAGCTCCGCGGCCGTCTCCCCCTCGGCTCCTAGGCGGGCCATGGCCGCGCAGGTCTGTATGGAGAAGGGGGAGAAGACCACGTTCTCGCCAGGCTTCAGCAGCGACAGCTTCTGGTACACGTTCAGGGAGAAGATGGCCAGCCGGCGTGAGAATTCCACTTCTTTGGTTTCTGGCATCGTGACGTCACTGGTGGTCTGGACCGGCTCGACGAACGGAGAAAGGGTGATGGTAAGGAAGAGCAGCGAGGGCAGCCAGCAAGCTGCAAGGGAAAGAGTGGAATGAGCTTTGATTTCATATGAAGATTTGTATACAATATTTATGTAATTTTTGTGAACCGATGAGTCACCTCCACAAATGTTCGTCACTATTCCACTATGTTTTGCCGTCTCGATGGGGATTTACACGACTCTTTTATCTGAAATATTTACTGCGTCCGCTAACTGTTGATTTGAGCTTTCTCCAGTACCGCCCCTCTTCTTTATTTTCGATTTGTTTGCTTTTGTTTTCTTTTGTCCGCTGCCCGCACGCTCTTGGTTCCAAATGAATGGCGCTCTCCGAGTGCTCATCGATTTTATGCTTTTATATCTGGCCACACCACAACAACAATTGGTTCTCTTGCCGCTCACATCCAATATATGCATGTGAATATATCCAAAGTATACTAACACAAGGTGGTGCATTCCCAGAAAGCTCTCTTGGACATTATGCAAGTTGGTGTATTAATTAACATTATTTAATAATAGTGATAATAAAACAAGTCATTTTTTAATTTTGATTTCACAGCTCCACAAAACACATCTATTCCTTACTGCTTCTCAATCGCATCAAACATGGCGTCGAAGACCAGAAAAGAGGGAGTACACACCCTTCCATAATTGTATCATGCCTATGACATCACACCAAAACTAAATAAACTGGTTCTTCTCTTTATATTTACATCCACTGCTAGTTCTCTTAGCTCTGTAACTTTAATCAACGCGCACTGTTCTCTTCTCTCGTAGCTCTCTTACCATTTAATTCCACAGGTCTATGCATTCTCCAAGGTGTACTTTTCTAGCGCATTTAATCAACCTATTTCCACAAATGTACGTTTCATACTGACTCCAGTGTGCTCTTATCAGCCCAAGCCTGGTTCTGGCACACAGCGAGCTCCGCTTAAATATTTCTAGAATGCTGATAAGAAAACAAACCCCAATGTTTGTTTTTTTACTGTTTCGAAAATACTATCGCGTAAACAATATATGTAACTCTATGCACCTTTAAAGATTCGAGTTGTATTCTTATTTAATTAATTTTAGAATAATAATTTATGATAGAATAATAATTTATGTTACACCCCAGCCGTCACGCTTCCCACAAAGAGGATGCCATGATTGCGATCACAGATCGTATAGTAGAAGGGTCTGTTGGCGTGAAAGGCCTTTGGTCGATCCACTGGGGTGGCGGGCAGGCTTCGCATTACCATAACAGCAGCTAGTGAGAGGAATGGAAGTGTTAGTCCGGTAGAAATTCCCTTGGGCACTCACCCGTTGCGGCGGCCGCTTCCGTTCCCACCTCGTTGACATCTATGAAGGCTTTGTGTAATATCTGGGAGACCTTGATGGCCTCCTGGGACTCCAAAATCTGGCCCAGCTCGGCCTCGTCGCTGAATATACGCTTTATGCCCATCTAAGAAACGTCAAGGATTTTACATCGACTGTTTTTCAACAAACGATTAGCCACGCTAACCTTCTTAAAGGCTGAGGACAACTCCTGCTCAAATTCGACTCTAAACTTAGGGATCTTGACATCAACTTTTATGAGGGACATGTCGGATGTAATAGCCTTTAAGGAGGTGGTCGGTAACTTTTGCTCCAGAGTCTTCAGACCTGTACTTTCGTTGGGCAAAATTATAATCATGGATAGGTTGCAGTCTGTGTATAACATTTTGATGGCTCTTGCTCCCAGTTTGGGCAGTTCCGCATACATAAACTTGTGCACAACCTTCATCATGGACACCTTGATGGGTTTGCCCTTCTCCAGGAAAAACTCCTCCTCGCGCGTATCCTCCTCATCGAACCTTATGGACCAGACGCCCTTAAAGTAGATGGCATTGACTAGGACCAGGCGAGTGCTGTTGGTCAGGGCGCCCGGACTGACAATATTCTTGATGAGCTTGTTGGTCTCCTCCTCCACCCAACTGTTGATGGTCTCCGCAGCTGAGCTGCTCCCGAAGTCAATGCTCTTCGGCTTGGAGTGATACTTCTTCTCCAGAATACTGGCAAACCTCTGATTGGGCTTGCACTCCTTCATGATGAACAGCTTGTTTGCCATCTTCAGAGCCTTGCACTGCCGAAAGGCAGAGAATACAGCCTCGAAGCCATCGGCTATTTTGTCCACATTGCTGGCACTGAACCGCAGTCCCTCGTCCAGTTCCCGGGCTGTGGCCGTCCCCTCCTCTGCCCCCATGCGCACCATTGCCGCACACATTTGTATGGACAGGGGCGAGTAAATGAGATTCTTGCCGGGATTCGCATTGCTTAATTGCTCATGCAGGCCATAGCCGAACTCCTCCAGGTTCTTGGTTGCACTAGGGTCTGTCATCGTTGTTTATCGGAGCAACTTCTTATGCTGGAATATAATGGATGGGTTACTCATTCCCAATATCTCTTTGTAGCTTTCTCTCTTTCTCCCAGCTTTCTTCCCAGACTAGCTATCGCCTATACTAGTAGAGCCTGAATCGCTCGTCTTCTGATTAATATCAGCCTAATGTTCTCTCTCTCGCGCTGAGGCACTTGCTTCCACTCTTGGAATTTATCTAATCGAGACACAGTGCGCTCTGAGTACCGGTCTGAGTCACGATAAACACCCACACCGCTGGGCGTTAGTCAGCTTCGTACCGCCAGCCGAACACCTACCACCGAGAGCTGCACTGCTCGATTCCGTTTCCAATATTTAATTATATTTCTATCTCCTCGTCGAGAAGTAAGTAAACAATCAATCAGAGCGTCGCTGGCATGGCGCAGAGACTCGGTTATTCTCACCTGCTGAAGCCAATCAACTCTTATCAGCAGATGTCCACGACTTCTGCCTTTCATTCCCTGCCAGCAGCAATTGGCGGATTATCGGACAGCTCTCGGACAGTTATCGACACAAACAAATTAAAAACAGATTCCAATTTGACAGAAGTTTCCAAACACTAAGCAAAATCGAAGTTTTTTTATTATCGAGTGAGGCGACTCATCATCATATTATATATGTAGTACACACATATGTCGCCCATGAGACAATTTCACATCACGATATCATATTGGCTATATGGGACAAAAATTAATTCAAAGTATTTGAAGGTGATTTCGACTATCGGTGCCACAACCATCCATCTATTGCTGAGAAGCTCATTGACATTCGAAAGTGAAAAAATACACCAAATTGATTTTAAAAAGTGAGATAAAATATATTTTTGTACTTGCAGATGACGCTGGCCGAGGATAGCAGAAATCAGTTTTCTCGGGAACTGGTGGATGCCATCACCAAGAATGTTCTCCAGCAGAGTAGCCAGCCAGGCGTCAACACAGTCTTCTCGCCGGCCTGCATACAAAGCTGTCTGACGCTGGCCTTCATGGGGGCATCCGGATCGACGGCCGAAGAGTTGCGGAAGAGCCTGCACCTGGGCCCGGGCGACAAGGCGCACATTGCCCGATCCTTTGGCGAGTTCTGGACAACCAACTGCCACTACGGCGATAGGGGACCCCTTCTGAAGTCTCTGAACCGCTTGTATGTGAACGAAACACTGGAACTGCAACCGGAGTTCAATGTGTTTGCCTGGGACTTCTTTAAGTCCAAGGCAGAGCCTGTAAAGTTCTCCGACGCCGTGGCCGTGACGGGGCAGATCAACTCCTGGGTAAAGGAGCAGACGGAAGACAAAATCAGAGAGCTGCTGCAGGCCGATGCGGTCGACCAGGACACGAGTGCGGTGCTCATCAACGCTCTGTACTTCAAGGGCAAATGGAAGAAGCCGTTCACTCCCGAGGTCACGCAACAGGACGACTTCTTTTTGAATTTGCGAGACAGCGTTAAGGTGGACATGATGTACCAGGAGGACAAGTTCAAGTACGCCGAGCTGCCCCTCTTGCAAGCACGGGCCGTGCAGCTACCCTACGAGAACTCGAACATCTCCATGCTGATCATCTTGCCCGACACTACGTGCGGCATACTAGATCTGGAGGAGCGATTGAAGTCGGTGGATCTGGCCGATATTGAGGGGGCCATGACCTTGGATGATGTCGATATAGCCTTGCCCAAGCTGACCATCGAATTCGATGTGGATCTCAAGGACGTACTCAATCAGGTGAGAAGAGCGTGCCCCGTCTGATGATCCGAACTGATCTGATGTTTTTCGGTAGCTGGGGATATCGGAGGTATTTGGCAACGAGGCCAATCTGGACGGACTCTTCACCACAAAGACGGGGCAGAAGATCTCGGCGGCCAAGCATCGCGGATACATCAGCATCAACGAGGCAGGGTCTGAGGCTGCGGCCGCGACATGTGAGTTGATTTTCCCCTATTCCGGCAATGACGTTTCCAGCTAATTGCTTATGCTTACATGCTTCCCCTTGCAGTCATGAAAATTGTGCCGATGAGTCTGAACATGAGCAAGAAGCTGTTCAAAGTGGACCACCCATTCGTTTTCTATATACGCTGCAGCCAGGCGGTCTTCTTCGCCGGTCGCGTCGTCTCCCCCAGTGATCTGAAGAGAGAGTCCATTGCATCACTGGACACTTCAACTTCTGCTAATATCAGCCAAGAGAGTAAATAAAATCATTTGACAACCCACTCAATCGTTTCAATTGAGCTGCAGTCAGAGCCCGCAATCTTCTACTAGCTGCCGTGTATAACACGTCTCAGAGCAATCTCCGCTCTATTCATAGGCACACTCATCGGCGAACAGTTCTTTGGAGGCAATCAAATGATATTCTACATGTGTAAGTTGGAGGCTGAGATCAATAGCTGGCTGAGTCTAAAGTTCACGCTATCCCCATCTCGCCGCAGGCCTTACGCTCTTGGCAGCCTTTGTGGCTTGCCAAGCCTCGGAGGAGATTTACCAAATACTGGCAAAAGATTATTATGCCAGCAAGAATCTCATCATCTCCCCCTTCGCCATCGATACCATCCTTAGTCTGGTCTACATGGGAGCTGCAGGCGCTACCGCCACAGAGCTGCAAAACTACCTGAAATTATCGTCAGAGGACAAGCAACTGGTGACCAGCAAGTACAACGAGGTCCTCGACGGCCTCTTCCAGCCACGAGCGGATGGTCCCACCTTGAAGCTGGCAAACCGCATTTATGTCAACGATCGTTTCCGTTTGAAGGAGGAGTATAATCAGGTGGTTCGTGACGCCTTTCATGCTGATGCACAGATGTTTAGCGTCGCCGGCGGGGTGGATCCGACAGAAAGTATCAACAAGTGGGTACAGGTACAGACGAATGGCAAGATCTTGAATCTTCTGGAGCCCAACAGCCTCAAGCCCGACGTGATGGCAGTGCTACTGAATGCTATCTACTTCAAGGGTGAGTGGCAGTCAAAGTTCGATGCCAGTAACACTCAGGAGGGCAATTTCTGGGTGACGGGAGAAGAAACGGTTCCGGTTCAGATGATGTCTCAAACGGGTTACTTTAAGGCCCGCTACTTCACCGATCTCCAGGCACAAGTGATCGAGCTCCCGTACCTGAACTCCAACCTTTCCATGTTCCTGTTCCTGCCCAAGGAACGCGATGGCCTCAGAGCTATGGAGCAGAAAATCTCTGGCTTCTCTCGGCATATGCATTGTATGGAGGCTGTTGTGAAGTTGCCTAAGTTCAAAATAGAGTGCGGCGAAGACCTTAAGGGAACCCTCCAAAAGGTAAAAGAAAAATAGTCCACTATACATGTGCCTCGTTCAACCTCACCCTTGCAGTTGGGAATCCGAGAGCTGTTCACCGACGATTCCGATCTGAGCGGCCTATTGGCAGATAAGGCCAATGGAAAGATCAGCAAATTCGTTCACAAAGCGGTTTTGGATGTCAACGAGGAGGGGGTCGAGGCCTCTGCCGCCACATGTACGTGCGATTTGCTTATCAGACCTGATTATGGGTCTATGATTATACTCACGTACATAAATGTTTATATATTTGGTGATTCACAGATGGAATGATCACCAATCGCTCGAGCTTCACCATGGTGCTTAGCTTCGATCATCCCTTTGCTTTCGTCATACGGGATCAGAGAACTATCTACTTCCAGGGTCATGTGGTCAGCCCCTGAGTAATCGTTATGCTGTGTACGGATGTCAAATTAAACGAAAATATTATCAAAACATATAAACAACAAGCGGGATCGCGGCAAGGGCAGCGACTCTACTTTTATAACCGGTACTCAGTCAGTATAAATGTGAACTTATGATTTAGGTAATTTATACAATATATTTTATATAAAAATATAATTAATCGTCGGAATTAGTATTCTGTCTCTCTCTCTTTTGGAATCTCTGCTCTTAAAAGGTAAGAATTGATGAGAGATGGCGAGCTCCCTCTCAATTTTCAATTTTTCAACTTATCTTGAGAGATGGAAAAAACATAGATTGAGAGAAAGGAACCCCGACTGCTAGTTATGTTTTAGGAAATTTTATTTTCCTTTGCAACATACTGGTTCTTATTTATTTTCATACCCGATGATCAATTCCTACTGATAAAAGTTTTCACCTCGAATAGGCCCTTTTTGACTTGTTGCTTCGAACCCCCAAATGAGGATTTTTTGCGGGAGGGTGCTTATTTCGGCCCACCTGAATTGGAGTACCAAATTTGACCGAGGTCCAAGGTGATCTCAACGATTCGAGCAGTTCTGGAGGTGGAATGGTTCCCAACAAAATAAATGTTCAATTTGTGGTGGTTTTAGTTTTATTTTCTTAATCTCCTTATTTCACTTCTGTTCTCATTTCTCGTCGATCGTCAAATATGGATATCCCTCTTATCGCAGTATCGTATCGCATAAGACTTATCACAGTATAATATCGGGATCGGCTAGGGTTAATATCGGTAAGGGCTAATATGGGGTTGTTTAGGTTTAATATCGGTGTTGCCTTACAAACTATGGAGTTTCGGTGCATACTAGTTATACCCGATACTCAAAATGAGTATTGGGGTATAAAAGATTTGTGGTTAAAATGGATGTGTGTAACGTCCAGAAGGAATCGTTTCCGACCCCACAAAGTATATATATTCTTGATCAGCATCAATAGCCGAGTCCATTGAGCCCTGTCTGTCTTTCCGTCCGTCCGACTACTAGAGCTAGAGCAACGACATTTTATATCCGGACTTCTGTGATATGTCACTGTTACAAGTATATTTAAAAAGGACGGGGATGCCACACAATTTCAAAGATACGAGAAAACCGAAAACGACGAATCGTAGAGGATGACTATATCTTCTGAGCCAGATCGTATAATTATTATAGCCAGAATCAATAAAACAATTTCATTATCTCTCGCTCTGTCTCTCTCTAACACACAGGTTTCATGGTCGGCTTTGCCTATTGCAAAATGTGAGAGACTATAAAAGCTAGAGCAACCAAAATTTTGACCCACACTCCTGTGATATCGGACCTTGACGAGTTAGTTTCAAAATTGCACAATCATAGGGAATCACCTTGTCTATGAGATTGCTGAATCTGGATTAGATCGGATCATTTTTATAGCCAAAAGGAACAAATTAACATGCAATGGCTACGCAGCGCCCGACGACATGTTCAGACACGTTTTCTGTCGCTCCCGCAGGCACACATTGTCGCTCAATGTAGCCATATTGACTATGTATCGGATATATGTACATGTAGAGTTGCGGTCTGCGCAGCAACTCACAACGTTTCCCCTCGGTTTGTTTGCACGAATATGCGATTCATATACAACATATGTACAGTTTTTAATGTTTATTTAGGTCTACAGAAACCCTATGGCTTATTACTCTTATCATGAATTTTATCATGCTTATTCATAGCTACATCCCACGCCCTGCTAAATATTTAATATTCATATTTTTTGTAAATATTTTGTTTTACATATTTATGGAGGCCAGTAGTGCAACTTTGACTTCTTAGCGTCAATCCATCTGTCAATCACCAAATATATAATGATTTATGTACGTTACTATAAATCGTAACCATGTTCATGTGTGAACACCCGTAGAAGATAGAATAAATTTTCTAAATTCAAAACATGTCAGCTGAAGAATAAAGCGTTTATTGCAAGATTTTTCATTGTGAGAATGAGTTTTAAAAAGGCCTTCATATAAAGCCATATATTTACGTAGATACATATGTACATGTTAAACTGCCACTTTAACGTCCTCTTTTATATAATTAAGCAGTATCGTATCGCATAAGACTTATCACAGTATAATATCGGGATCGGCTAGGGTTAATATCAGTAAGGGCTAATATGGGGTTGGTTAGGTTTAATATCGGTGTTGCCGATTTATTAGATTTTCATAGCTCATATTGTATATCAATGGAATAATCGTTCATAAATGTATTCTCAGTTATACAAATCTAATGCTTATTGAAATTATTAAAACTTATATATTAAAAGAGGAGATATTTTTTGAATATTTGAAGTGAATCTTCAAATTCCAATTAATTAAATTCCAATTCAAATTACTCGAGTAAATATACATGTCAAAATATGTGTTGAAATAGAAAAAGAGACAACACGTCAGCTGTTCATTGGCTAAAGGCATTGAGGCTAAAGAAGTCAGTTTTCTCTAGAACGTCGGGCTGTATCTATCTCTCTGGCTGAAGTCCGGCATTCTAAATTTACTAGCATTCTAGTATTGGGAACTCCGACTATCAATTCTTCGTATTTCGTAGGTGTGGAAGTAAGTAAGATATATATATTTTTATATAGAAAACTGTTTCAATGTCAATGTTGTTGATGCTTAGTTCTAAACAAAATGACATCACCGTATGCCAAAAAAAGAATAAAGAGCACCAAAGAGAGTGCGTGCGGAAAGAGTGGATATTAAGGGAGTATTCCAGCTTCTCAGTATCTTGAGAATTAAGAGAGAATTTTTAAGAGAAATGCGTGTGGCTGAGAAGCATGTTAAAACCAGAATCAGCACAGATAACGATAAAAATAAAAATATTTCTGTAAGTACGTATATAAGGAGATCACGGAATTTGGGTAGATCATTCAGCTTCATCTTGTTGGGTAGGAGACACTAATTTTTTATCGTAGGACTTCCCATCTAATCACTTTGTGTGATCCTTTTTCCCAGCTTCCGAGCACACAGCATCCAAGGCCGCACTCTCACTGTTGCTCCTCCTGGGCTCTGTTCTGACTATGGCCAAGTCCGTTAACAATTCCAGTAGCTCCGCAGGCGATGGAAAGTTTTCCTTAGAGCTTTTCGGACACCTGGCGAAGTCGGAGGCTGGTGGAAATCTCGTGTTCTCGCCGTCGTCTATCAGGACAGGCCTGGCTTTGGCCTACCTAGGCTCCGAGGGCACGACTGCAGAGGAGCTGAAGCAAGGCCTCGCATTGGAGGGAGCCGACAAGAATGAGGTTGGCCAACGATTCGCTCAGCTCTTGGCCAAAGGACAAACGAAAACTAAGGAGGATGAGGATGGCGTGCAGTTCAACTATGCCAACCGTCTCTACGTGGCTGAGCGCTTCAGGCTGGCCCAGGCCTATCAACAATTGGCCGCTGAAGGCTTCGACGCAGCTGCCGAGAAAGTAAACTTCGCTCAAGGCTCGAAGGTGGCCCAGAAAATAAATTCCTGGGTAGAAGGGCAGACCCATAATCAAATTAAGGACCTCATTAGCGCCGATTCCCTCGACGCTGAGACGGTCGCCATCCTGATCAATGCGATCTACTTCAAAGCCGACTGGGTGCACAGTTTCGCCGATTACAAAACGGACCTGCAAGACTTTGTCCGCCATAATGGAGCCAGGGTTAAGGTGAACACCATGTATCAGTCCGACTTTTTCAGGTACGGCGAGCTGTCCTCTCTGAAAGCAAAGGCATTGGAAATGCCCTACAAAGGCACGGACATTGTGTTCCTGATCATTCTGCCTCTGGAGGAGCAGGGACTGCCCGAACTTGAGCAAAAGCTTAGTGGACATGACCTGAACGTGATTAGTTCGCAGTTGACCAGACAGATGGTGGAGATACAGCTACCCAAATTCAAGTTCGAGTTCGATGTCTCCCTGAAGCCTGCGCTGAAGGAGGTGAGTATGAGTAGGAGAAGGAGGAGGATATGAGAACCGATGTGTAGCCGATGCATGATGCTTTCAGTTGGGCATCGAAGCCCCGTTCGGTCCTCAAGCTAACTTCAGCAGCCTGCTCCAGACCCCGGACCCCCTGAAGATCACCGAGGTGAAGCACAAGGCTCTCATCGAGGTAGACGAGAACGGAACCACTGCCAGTGCCGCCACAGCAGTCAAGTTCTCACTAGAATCTGCCTTCATGGGGGAAGTACAGCAGTTCACCGCAGACCACCCCTTTTTCTTTGCCATCAAGGACGCGCAGAGCACCTACTTCTTGGGCCACGTTAACCAGCCCTAAGCTAAAGTTTCGTTGCGGTAAGTGTTTCCAATAAATTGAGTGAAACTTATGAAGTTCCTGCGGTCAATAAATGCCATCTGATGTCAAGTGCAAAAGACAGACGAGTTGTTGATTAGTTTCGGTTGCATAATGCTGAGGGCCACGGCCACGGCCACGTGAAGATGCTGTGGCTGTAATTAAACTCTCCCGAGCTGCAGTTGACATTGATTTGGGAGGCGGACTTGGTCTTGGTATGCTCTTGGCCGTGCGCCCGCCGCCCGCCTGACAGTTTGGCAATACTGTATCAGTCCGGCAGGTGTGTACACGTATGTGCAGCGGGCCATATATCAAAGTTAGTATAGCTATCAATCCATGACACAGCAGGCAGCAAATGGAGAGAGAGAAGGAGGAAAGAAATACGAGAATCTGCTCAGGGAAGAGGAAAAGCTGGGAATTTGAATGGCAGTGGTAAGTGGCCAAAGACCAAGCACACGGGCACACGGGACTGATGGACACACGAGCACACGGGCACACGGGACAGATGGAGACGCAAATGGCCGAAACTGTGTTGGCAATTTGCTGCAATCATCTACATGCAGCTTACAATTCCCCTTGGTTCGCACTCCCCACTCCCACACCTCTCGTGTTTTTTCCGAGTGCATCTAGATTGCTGTTGTCTGTGCTTTTTGTTGGCTACTTTTTGGCAAGCGAATTGTTGGCGTGGATTTCTCAAGACCCTTGACGGATGATAGTCCAGGACACACACACACACACACACGAGAATCGGATCCTTTTGGCCTGACCTCTTGTGGCAGATATTTGCATGTTTCTAAACAGGTGTAAATTAAATTTGACAACTTTTACGGCTGCCTGGGACAGCGCTGGACAAAGGCCGTCTGTCTGCCTTTCTGCCTGTCCTGTCCTTATGCTTGTTGTCCCTGGTGGCAGATTTAATTCAATTTTGTGAGTTTTACATTGCTTTGAGGGCAGGCCATAATTAAAGTTTATTGTTTGTCGATTCATGTCGAACAGATGCAGCTGACATGCAGGAGAGTGTAGCAAATGAAGCCGTTGTGCACGCGTTCAGAAAAATGTCAATTAAAACCATGCGGTTGCTTTGTTTCATCCTGTTGAATTCAACAGTTTCTTCCACTTCTGTGCCACTGTCGAAGGTCGCTGCGACTCAGGCCGCTACGCGTTCTCCCTGCACAGCAAATGTCGCTAATTGGTGGCTAGGGCAATGCCAAAAACTTCGACGGCGTTGTCGTTGTCGTTGTCCTGGGCAACGCTTCGAGTTTCCGTCAGCAAATTGAAATTGAAATGACAACGGGACAGAACGGAAACAAAAGACAGGAGGAGCCAGAAGGAGGTGGAGCAGCCGCAGTTCCAGTGCGAAATGAAAGGGAAATGCAACTCGCGAATCTGCAAATAAGAAATTTAACGACAACACCCAAGGCTGGGGCTGATGTGGCCTCAGAGGTAGCTCCTGCAGGTGGAGTGGTAGGGAAACTGATACGCTTCCCCGGACCTTCCTGGGCCACTGCCTGCACGTGGGGGGTCTTGCATGTGTGGGCATTCCTGCGTTTGACAGTCCTGACAGCTCGCTGGCTCATTCTGCCCAATTGACGGTTGATGGCTGATGGCTGATGGCTGATCCAGCATGTGCAGCTGTTAGCCCATACTGTGGATGGTGATGGCAGTCGTAATTGTGCAATTAGTTATCAGTTGCAGGTGCACTCAAAGGGAAAACAAACTACTTGTTTGCGTTTTTTCGCCCAATGCATAATAATTTTCCACATGAGCGAGTGACCGCAAAAATTCCAAACTTCATGGCAATCCTTTCAGCCACCAGGTGGCCTTGTACGTATGCACACAGTTATTCCATATGCAGCAGGCAGCAGACAAATGGAACTGCCCAAATTGTATTTGTAACTTCTTTCAAGGACGTATGACAAGTTTGGTAATTAAGGAATTATGTCAGCCATCCAGAGTGTTCTCTAACCACCTCTCCACCTCTTTATACGAGTGAATGCGAGTATGTCTGCTGGAGGCAAGGCATATCTTGATTGCTTTCGGTTGCCTTGGTTTTTACACACACATATGTATGAATGAGTCGTGTGTTGTATATTGCAGTTTTGCAATTGGCATTTAATTTTCAGGAGTTACTCTGTTAGGACCGAATCATCTTGCACTGTAAGGACTCCCAGTTGCAAGTGAAATATTCATTGAATACAGGGACAAGGACCACCCACAAAGCGTAGACTCCTGCAACACCCCCACCGCACCTCACCGTACAGCACCACACCACACAGTTACGTTACATGGCCAGGGCACCACAAAAATGATAATAAAATACCAACACGCTTCGGTGGCTACTGGACACAATTTACCGCTCGTCTAGGCATCGTTGATTCCGGGCCAAAAAGGGGCGAAGCGTCAGGGAAAACAAGCTAACGCTCTCCTCACGGACAACAGGACAACCGGACAGCTGGACAGCCGGACAGATGGACAGCCGGACAGCAGCTGCCAATGTGCGTATCTGGACGAGGCAGGTTAATGAAATACTTCAGCCTTTTAGCTGAAAGTTGCCTGCCTGTCTAAAGGGCATCGCTCCTCTACCGGATGTCCCTTTTTGTGCCCTGGCCGACTGTATGTGGGCGGGTGTTTGGTTGAAGCTTGGGGCGTTGCGGAAAAGTGCAAAACATTGTTAACACTTTAAATTTAATACCTGCTATTGAATATTAACGAGGAGTGCAAATGCAGGATATGCTCAGAGGCAGGCAATTATCACGCATACGAGTTGCCTTCCACTTCTGTTTCCTCTACGCTTTTCTTTGGTTAATTAACATTTGTTGGCCAATATTGGCACAAGCAGACCCACAGCCATTCAAAATACAAATGAGAATCTGTGCGAGACACGAGAGAGGCTTCATTCAGCACGGCTGTGCCTTTTATTTCCGATTCAGGTGCGTGTCCAAACATTGCCCACTTTGAGTGGTTCTTCTGAAACCTCTTTACTCTAATGGACAGCCACAAAGTGGGGGGAGAATGCAAAAAATGCTTTAGTTTGTCCACTTATAAATTATTGCTAGGTTACCCTTTCCGGCCAAAAAGGATTAAGAACAAGCACGTGGTGCACAGATTCTACAAAGCTACAAAAGTTTCCCCTGAGATATTTCGCTAATAATTAGATGCCAATTCTCCCAAAACGCACTCTGGCCTTCTCCCAAAATTAAACTGTCACAGGAATTATTACTACCCAAACACGTTTGATAAGGCCTGAGGGGGGATGAGGCTACACAGCTCGCAGCCTTTCCAGCATGTTGGAGGCATTAGCGTCAGTCGAAAGCTCTGGTTCTGAACCCGACTATTCTTAGAGAGGTCCTGTAGGCAACCTCGCAGACGCCTGCGCCTTGGGAGCTTGCAAGGCTTGTTGGGTTGCATGTCCAACCTGCAACATGTTGTGTTTTGAATGCCTCGGCGGCAAGTGTCCGTGTCCTGGCCGTATAAAAAGAACGACCCGAGCTGACAGTCGAGTAGTTTGAAGCTTGACAGCAACGCGTGTGTTCCGCGATCGCGAACAGAATCCTCTAAAGGAAGCGCTGAAGAAGCGACGGTTACACTTGTAGTTTTTCGTCCAGTGGTATTTTCCAGGTGTCTGTGGCTTTTGTGCTCGTGATCAGAGATTTGCTAGAACATAAATCAGAAGTTTAATCAATCTCACGTGCCGATTTGCAGTTTTCCCACCAGTTTCGCCAGTTACTTCGAGGTGATTAAGTATACGACAGGTAAGCCAGAGGCACAGAGCCCACAGAGGCTCCTACTTTGACCTACAAAGACCTGCAGGACATGTCCCCAGTAGGACTGTGTGTATGTGTGGGAACGTGCGGTCATTTGGAATGCGTCCAGGCACCGTCCATGTCCATCCTCTCCTGCATTTTATAGCCGCATTAAAACATAAACAAAGATAGTGGCTGAAACAAGAACGAGGCACGTTCCGCCTGCGAGTGCGAAAAGGCAAAAGGACTTTAAAGTGCCTGAGAGCAGAGAAGGAACGGTTATTGCGGAAAATTCAAATTTTTCGCATTACTCGTATCTTTGCCGCCCCCCACCACCATCCATAGGTGTCTTCAATATCCAATTTTAACGGCAGCATCCGCTGGAATAATAAAAATTTATCGCAGGCGCATTAAATTTGTAGCTGCCGCAACTTTCACTCCGAATCTTTAGGTTATATTTTTTTGGAGGAGTAGAGAAAAAGAGTCTTTACGCCTGTTAACATCTCTAAGTAAGCTCTAAGTTGCCTGTAGATCTGTGTGTTTGTGTGTTCCGGCTGGGTGGAAAACGCTGTGCCATGTTGTGCATTTTTATTACGATTACACACGGCTCGCAAATTAAACAACTGCGGTAGCGGATTGTGTTTTTAAAAAGTTTTTATTTTACTTCGAACTTCACTGATATAGATTTAAGTAGAGGGTCACAAAGGAATTCCGGGCCAAGGGATTGCGCGATCTTAATATTTAGCTAGACTTTGCGGTGTCGCTGCTGGATCAAGACTGATTTGAACTTTCTGATCTTTGCATCGTTGATCCCTTTCGGGAATCGTTTTTCTATAAACATTTCAATTGATTTCGCCATCCCGAGTATTAGATTTCGTCATCCAAAGAGAGAACTGTAAAAGGCCTAAAGTGCAGGATCTGCAGAAAGCCGGGAGTGAGATTGTTTATGAGAAGCCGGGTGTGGGCAAACATTGGTTTTCCATTTAGGCGAGTGTCAAAGAATGGGATTGCGGCGGGGGCGCTTGAGATTGTACATCTTAGAAATCAATTAGGCGGAGGCCCAAGATTGAAATTGTTTTCGTTTTGGAAAACCAAAGATTGTTTACAACTCGTATAAGAGCTCAATGGAATTGGGTACGTTAACTCCCCCCATTCTTAAATGTTTCGTCCCGATACATTTTGAAGTTCTGATAGAGCTCTAATTTCTTCTGACAGTATTTGAATGTTGCTTTCCACTATTTCTTCTGACGGTATTCTTATTGATTTAATAAGTACAAATTTGGTTAATTTATAGCAGAAGTAAAATAACATTAACAATATCAAAATGATTAAAAATAATGTTGTTAATGGTAAGGCCGTATTACCTAATGTTATAAGGGGATTTAAAATATTAACATTATCAAAAGAAAATTGCTTATCATTTGATTGTATATAATCAACTAATTCAAAATCGCTATATCTATGATGCGATATATATTTTAGAATTTTACCCTTATCATTTATGTGGCTTATATTATTTATTACAATTGTGTTGTTGAATATAAGGAGATACGATCCTAACAAAGTAGTATTGTCTACGATATTTTTGCCTGAAACTAATATGGCACCATCCTGAATGATGTCTATTTCTTTGTTTTTTTTCCCTTTTTTTAGTGCAGTTGGCTTTAAAGCCATTAAGTAAATTGGTGAAACAGGTACTCTTTAAATTTATTTGTGCGTAATTGTTAAAAGTTTCACTTTTAAAATTATTCATTAAATAGTATTTCTCCTTACATTCACAAACTTTTTCACTTATAACTAACATTCCATCATTTTGTGAGATGGCTCTTGCATGGTAAAACTTGCAAATATCTTTAATTTGAGGATATTTTATGTAAATGATTATTAAATCTGCATTTCGAATTATTTTAACCGTTGCAATGTCCAACAGATCAGACAGTTCAACATTATGTTTTTCATGCTTATAAATGTCCTCTATTTCGTTTTTATTTAAAATTTTTGTATTGAAAATGTTTACTTTTAAGAGGGTTATGGTATCAACTAAATTTAGTAGGTCAAAAGTTATTAATTTTAAACGATGCTTTCTCAGTATCGTTTCTTCATTGAAGATGACATTCTTTAATGAATTTGATAGCAATTCAATTTCTTTGAAAAATTTGGAATTTATTACAAATTGTTTA